AAAATCCTGGAGTGGTTTGGGTTGACAGAAACCTTAAAGCTCACCTTGATCCACCCCCTGCCATGGGCAGGGACACCTTCCACTAGCCCAGGTTGCTCCAAGCCCATCCAACCTGGCCTTGAACACTTCCAGGGATGGGGCAGCCACAGCTTCTGTGGAAAAAGTGATGGGTGTGATGAACACAGAATTCCAGAGCCCTTTTTGTTGGAAAAGACCTCTGAGACCATTGAGTCCCCCCTGTGCCCCATCCCCACCTTGTCCCCCAGCCCAGAGCACTGAGTGCCACGGCCAGGCCTTCCTTGGACACCTCCAGGGATGGGGACTCCAAACCTCCCTGGGCAATCCATGTCCCCATGGTCTGGCAGGAGAATCCTTCCTGTCGTGCCCAGCTGGGCACCAGCAGGATTGGAACTGAGCTGTTGGGATGGGCTGGCAGCAAACCTTTAACTGGGCACAGCCTTATCCATGCCCTGCCCTCTGCCCCGCTCCCCTCGGCGAGGGCGAGCACTAATGGCAAATCCATCGGAGTCGTCCCTAATTATTTTAGCAGTGGGAAGGAACTTCCCGGCTGGCCGAGGCGCCGCCCCGGGATCCCGCAGCTGCGGGAGCGCCGTGCCCCGCTCAGTAGCAGGGTTTGTATTTTAGTAGTGGAGCAAAGCGGGTCTAAATGAGCACTGACATGACTTTGACATTTTTATTTTGTGGGGTGTTTTATGAACTCGCCCCGCGACGGCGGCGACGCGCTCGCAGGAGGGAGCGGCGGGGGGTGTTACCGCGGGCCTTGTCAGCACCCCGACATCAAGGGGGACCCAACCCCCCGGCCCACGGCGTGGGCAGCTCCCAGAGTGTTGCCCGACACTGCTGAATGCTGCTTTCTGCACTGCCTTCAGCCCTGCTCCGCCGTCACCTCCCGGAGCAGCCACGGAACAGGAGCCGCGCTCAGAAACCACGGAGCTGGGCCAGAGGGATGGTGGGGCAGCTGGGGTGGCAGTCAGACCCTCTCCCTAAAATATCCCGGGCAGAAATACTCCAGAGTTGCCTCAGAAATACTCCCAGAGTTGCCTCAGAAAAGAAAAAATTATATTATTCCTGCTTTTATTATTATTCTTTTCAGCTTGGCTGTGGAGAGGTGCGTGGGGAGCGTGCGGGCTGGGGCTGTTGAAGCTCCTCTGCCTCGGGCATCATTCCCATTTGGATGCCGACGTTCCTAAATGGCATCAAGAGGGGCCCAGGAGCTCCCCAATGTCTTGCTCCAGCAGGGATGGCTGTGTTGGTGCTGCCAGCTGTGGGCATCCTGAGGATGGATGGATGGATGGATGGATGGACAGAGCACCGGGATGCAGAGCCAGCCAGGCTGGATGCCCTCGAGCTGATTTCTCCATCCGGCTGTGGAAAGGCTCAAAAACTCCCAATCCCAGCAGAACAAAAATGGGATCCGAGGGCTTTGTGCCTCCTCCCAAACCCTGAGCTCCTGTGCTTTGCTCCTGCAGGTGGATCCGTGGGGAACACTTCAAGTACAAGTTCAGCCGGCCCGGGGGGAAGCACGCCAGCGAGGGCAGGTGGTGGATTCGGAAGAGGATCGGGCCCTACTTCCCCCCTGTCAACCTGCAGGGCCTGAAGAAGTTCTATGAGGACAGGAATTGGCCATTCCCCGTGAGGGACTGACGGAGGAGGACAGAGGGGCACAAAGGACCAGCTGGGGAGAGGGGAGGAGGCAGCTCCCCTTCCAAACATGTCTTGCCTCTCTGTGTTTTTTATCCATATCCTTGTTTACACACCTGTTGTGGAAGATTCCCAGCCAACCTGTCCACCTGCTGGTCTGATCTGGTTTTTTCTCATCTCAGTGGTTGATTTCTTTTGCCAGGCTCTTGGAGGTCGTCAGCTCCAGAATTTGGGAAAGAGGTGAACAAATACCACGACGGGTTTTGGGCAGGTGTTGGGGTTGCTTTGACCACTGCATTGTGTGATGGCTGTAGAGGTGCAGGGGGAGATTTTGGGGAGGTCTCCTGACTCAGCAAGTGTCCCTTCCCTGGGGCTGGGCATCGGGCAGGGCTGTCGGGTCCTGCTGCTCAGACAGCTCGTGTGGAGGTGAGTTGGCCTGGCACAGGGCACTGCTCCTCCATCCCATCTCATCCCACCCCATCCCACCCCCATGTGCACCACCAGCACTAAGACAACACTGTTTCTTTATTCCCAGCACACTGTCCCCACGCTGCCCTCGCTGTCCCTGGGGAGGGTCTGGTCACCACCTTCTCACTGCAGGTTCAGGACTGTGTGTCCTGCCTGCCTGGCACGGTCCAGCTGTCCCACAGTTCATTCCTGGGGCAGCATGGAAAGCCAGGCTGGGTAATTAATACCCCCCAGGCTGGGGAAAACAATGCTGGGGCCTCACCCTGAGTTTCTGTTTGCGTTCGAGGCTCCCCTCTTCTCTTTTTGGGCTTAAAATCACCCCAGATTGTCCCACCACGTGGGTTCTGCTGGGTGAGCCCAAATCTGTGGTGGGAGCGAGAACAGGAATGTGGACACATCTGAAACAGCATCTGGCCAGGCAGTTTGTCCCACCTGATGGCTTCTCAGCCTGTTCTGCTGCACGAGGTCCTTCTGCGGGGAGAAACGAGATCAAAGCAACACACGAGCCCCTGTTCTGGGCCGCCTGCAGAAACCACAGGTTTGCTGAGAAACCCCAAATAGCTCCGTGCTGGAGCGGCTGTGTGGGCTCTGTGACTCACCCCGAGGACAAGCACAGCCCTGTGTGGCTGCTCCATCCCTGTCCCATCACTGCCAGAGCAGCCGGAGCCGCCGGGTCTGCGCCGGCCCCTCCGGCGTCAAACAGCTCCTGTGTTCCCTGGGCTGCTTAAACCTCCTGTTTGCTTAAACCTGGGATTTATAACTGAGGGGTTTTGTCAGCATTCCCAGGGCTGAGATCTGCCTGTCTGGGGACCTGCTGGAGATCGTGCCAGAGGTGTTTGCTCCAGGAGGAGCTGAGCATCCCATGGGCACGATCCAGCACCGCCAGCACCACGGCCACGCAGCCAAGAGGGAGAGGGGCAGGGACAAGCCCAGAAAGGAGCTTTCCAGGCCTTTCCCTCCGAGTTTTTGGAGTGACATTCACCTCTTCCCCTCCAGGAAGGAATTCCAGTGGGCAGAAAGCTGCAGTAAGGATTTCACCCTTCCAGGGCAGATCCAGCCCAAGCCCCATGGAAGGAGAAGGCTGTTGCTGTGTGCCGGGCTCAGAGCGGGCTGGGGCAGAGCCACCCTGCCCTGGGCCACCAGCCTGAAGGGACCAGTGGCCACCATGGGAGACAAAGGCCCTCCCCAGGGCCACCAACCTGGAAGGGACCAGTGGCCACCATGGCAGACAGAGGTGGTGGCCACATCTCTGCCTCCATGCCCGGGGCTGAGCTCGTCCCCTCCCACTGCCGGAACCAGCTGAATGTGGTTTCGAAAGGAAAACGGGTCTAAACTGGGGAAAGTGAACCAGGAGGTGACCCTGGCACCAGCACAGGGCACTGTGGGCTGTGGGTGTGGGCACAGAAGTGCCATTTGCCGTGTTTCTTCCCACCTTTTTGCCCACATGTACCAATTGGGCACCACCCAGAGCATGTTCCTGGAAAGGGATGAAAGCAAACAGCTCTTGAACAACCAGCAGGAGCTTCAAGGGGGATTTATTTTTCCTGAAAGTGTTAAAAAGGAATAGAAGAAGGAGCCCTGGGAGGACAGCCCAGCCCTGGGGCAGCCCCTGCTGCCATCCTGGTGTGGCTCACTGGGATGTGCCAGCTCCTGTGGGAACAGGGTGACAGGTGAGAAGTAAGGTGAGTCCTGGGGGTTGTGGCATTTCTTTGGGTTTGAGGGAGAATCTGATGTCGTGTCCCAGTGTTTGATTCCTGTCCTGGTGACCCAGGGCTGTGAGTGGACAGTTCCTTCCCTTCTCCAGTGCACATTTCCACGGGGCTCCCTCTTGTTTGAGGTTGATTTTCCTGCCAAGCTGCTCCAGTGGATGCAGCTCAGGATGGATGGAGGCAGCAGGAGGACCCTGATGTGGCCTCATGCCTGGGGAGCTGGGAGGGTTTGAAGTCCTGTGGGACCAGTGGTGAGGCTCTGCGGGGTCCTGGGAGGTGCTGGAGGGAGCTGGGAGGGTCAGACATCCCAGCTCCTGGCCACAGGAGAAAGCCCCTTTTGGGATCCCACCTCCATGGTGGCACCCCTCCCTCTGCCTGGGGTCTCTGCCTTGGGATCCTCCAGGCAAATCTGGGGGATTTATGGGATTTTAAGAAGTGATTCTGCCCCTCAGCTGTGGTGCCTGTGCTCCATCCTGGCCATCCTTCAGCTCTAATGGGAACAAACTGGGCAGCTCCAAGGTCTCCGTGGCAGCCTCAGGGGTGAGGGTGTCCCCCTGGATGGGTGATGGGTGACAGACACCCCCTGGACATCCCTCATGGGCTGGACACCAGCAGCAAACAGTGCTGGCCTCCCCCCTCCCCAATTTAATTAATTTCTTTTGCTTCCCAACCTCTGGGTCAGGGATAATGGATCCCAGACCAGCATTCCCATTCCTGTTTGCTGCTTGTTAAGCTTTTTTTCTTTTTTTCCCCCCTTTTTTTTATTTTTTTTTTTAAATCAAAACTCCCCGCTCCGCTCCTGGAAGATAATACCCATTCAAAGGCAGAGGGAAGGTGCAGGCAGGGGATTAAATTGGAAACGTTTCCCTGGGACAAGATTTTTGAAAAGAAAAGAAACAATTCTTCGGAGCAGGGTAGGGGGGGTGAGGAAATCGGAACCACATTGTGTTATCTGTTGGCTGGAAGGTTCTGTGGAGAGGTTTTTTTTCTCCCTGAGCTGTGCACTGGAGGGAAAAGGCTGTGGCATTCCTGAGGCAGCGCCGTAAATCCAGGGGAAGGATAACTCTGGCTGGGGCTGCTCCCGCCCAGCTCTGAGTGTCCGGTGTCTTTGAAGAGGAGATGGGACATGGGGGCACCCACCAGGAGGATCAGGGTCCTGACAACATCCCCACCAGCTCTGGGGTGCAGGGTTTGGGTCCATCAGTCAAAACCAGGATGGGCTGAATCCTCTGGGACAATGTTCTTGTCTTGGCTGTGTTTTCCCGGCTCATGCCCTGACCCGGAGCCTGATCTGATCCCACTCCCTCCTCCTGTTTGTCTGTGAGGTCCAAGGAGGTGCCAGGGCTGAGCCATGGCTGGGCTGCTCACTCCACACCCACCCTGGGCAGCTCAGGCTCCACCATTCCCGGGAGCACCTCGGGACATTCTCGGATCAAAACCGAGCTGGTTTAGTTTTGATTTTCTTTTCCTAGATGGAAGTTATTGACCCTTGGGGTATTCCAAGTATATAAACTTAGTATAAGTGAGGTATAACTGACTTTTTCCCCTTTTTTTCTGAGATTACAGGCTTTTGGAAACACAAGACCCCCTTGCAAGCCCAGCTGGGTTTGTGTTTCCCCACGTTCCCACCGGCTGGGGGGGGTCGGATCCCGAGCTCATCCCGCCTGCTCTTCCCCCAAAACACGGAGCCTCCCCAGGTTTCTTTGTGAATCCCACATCTAGGTGTCTCTTCCTGTGGTTGCTGCCAGGGAACAGACAGTGAGTGTGTGCAGACAGATGGGGTTTAGCTCATCCCTCGTCCATCCCGGGAGTGGGTAAATGATCCGCGCGTGCATCACTTGGGAAGCCCCGGCAGTGGGGTTTGGAGTGAGCTGGAAGGGATGATACCCATGTTAGTGGGGTGGTGGGATGGGATGGGGCCATCCAGGGATTCCCAGAGGGTCTGGATACTTTGGTCACCTTATTACCCTTCCCAAACTCTGAGTTTTGGCTCAAACTCCATTGAATATCAAGTGGAAGGACTTTCAAGGTGTTCCCTTGAAACCATCTCCCCACCTCCAGGCCCTCCAGGAGAGGTGTCTTCTGGTGGTGAGGTGGAAACCTGTCCTGTGTGTTACTGTGCCATGGCTTTACTCACCCCCAGGAACTGACTGTTCACCTGGGAAATCCTTAATGATGGATTTCTGTTTGGGAGTTTGGTTTTCCCACTGGAGTTTATTTCTGCTCCAACTCCATCATTATCAGGTTGGTGGTGAGGCATCTGCCCCTGGCCAAACCCCCTCCAACCGACAACCTTCCTTTATAAAACTCTCTGGGGTTGGTGTAAAACCCTTAAAATTTGGGGGGGAGGTCATTCCTTCCCTTTGGTTTAGAATTATACAATCCTGGAATGGTTTGGGTTGGAAGGGACCTTAAAAGTCATCTCATTTCAAACCCCCTGCCATGAGCAGGGACACCTTCCACTATCCAGGTTGCTCCAGCCTGGCCTTGGACACTTCCAGGGATGGGGCAGCCACAGCTTCCCTGGGCAACCTGTGCCAGGGCCTCACTGAATCCACCCAGGTCACCTTTTCAGACATTCCTCTGGCTGAAAGTGTGGATTTGGTTTGTGTTTTGGGAATGTGGCCCCCTCAGTGAGGAGCTCTTGGAGAACATGAACTTGTGCCTGTGGCAGGTCCTGGTGCAGGAATCACCAGGCATTATCCACAATGCACCAATCCCGAGATTTCCTTAGTCCTGAATCATTTCTGAATTGGAGTTATTTATTTTAAAGTAGCCAAACTCCAGTCTGGGAGTTCCTTTAGGAAATCCCTGTAGCCATACACATTCCCTGCTCCCAGCTGCTTGGAGAAGCTGGCTTTACTTTAACACATATTAAAGGAAAAGGGTTTTTTGCCTTCCCAGTAGATTAAGTTTGGCCAAACAATTCAGTGTGAACTGCTGGGCATGAGGCACAAACCTGTAGGCTAAATTATCCAGCTGCTACAAGTTTAGACCAGCATGGGATGAATTTCAGGATCCTATATTACTTTCCATTTAATCTGATTATTCTGGGCTGGAGTTCCTGGAGGGTCTTCAGGTTATTGTCAGTCAAAAGAATCTTTAAAAGCTTCCATTTGCACTCAACTTTTCCCATTCAAAGTCTATTTTCATTATGGATCAATTTTAATGAAAAAAATGATTCTCCCAACTCCCTGCTTTCCCCTCCCCCCCCCCAGTTGGGGTTAAAATTGAAGCCACAATGGGGTCTTGCCACTCAAAATCCTGTTTTCTTGCTTTGCTGAGAGTGTTGGCTTGGTTGGAGGAGCTTGGGCAGACAGTGAGGGGGCAGATAATTTGGGAAGGCACCTTCTGCACTCCAGTGATGCTGCCTGGTACCCAACCCATCCTTCACTGGGAAAACACTGAAGTGGCTTCAATCCTGGGGGGATTCCTGGCTCCAAAGCCTTGGGGGCTGATGCAGGAACTAATTGATCTTTAGAGTCTGTTGCTGTTGTGTCACTTCACGGGCTGGTTTCTGTGGGTTGCCTCCTCTCAGCTTCCAGCCTTGGGAGCTGGAACCAGCCCTGGGACCACAGGGGGGTCCTGGTGGGAGCAGCCCCCCCCTGGGGCTGGGAAGGCAGTAAATCCCACGTTCTGTGCTGGGGACCCTGCTCAGATCTGGCTGGTGCAGGAGTGGCAGCTCGGTGGCACAGGGTGGCTTCGGGCTTCCTGGTGCTGAGCTGAAGGCACCTCCCTAGGGTGTGCAGCCTGCCTCACCCCAGGGATGTGGAGGGAAAAAAAAAAATAGAGAAACATCTAGAAATAATCCCCATCTTCTTTATTTATGCAGGATTTTCCACGGGATGTGCTGGCCTGAATCTTCTGGAGCCCAGGTGCCATCAGTGCTGCTCTGGTGAGTGGTACCACTGAGAGTCAGGGGAGGGTCAGGGTGGACAACAGGAGGAATTTCTTCCTGGAAAGAGTGGTCAGACATTGGAAGGGCTGCCCAGGGAGGTTTGGAGTCCCCACCCCTGGAGGTGTCCCAGGAAGGCCTGGCCGTGGCACTCAGTGCTCTGGGCTGGGGGACAAGGTGGGGATGGGGCACAGGGGGGACTCCAGGGGCTGGGAGGGCTTTTCCAGCCTCAGTGACTCTGAAATCCTGGGGATGTGGACCGTGCCAGCCTGGGCTGCAGGGACATCCACATCATGGTAACTTGTCACTGCCCAAACTCCTCAGTTTGCTCAGGAGCTGCTGGCAGGTGAGGAGGAGGAGGCTGAGCTGTGGGATCATCCCTGTGCCAGTTGTGTGTCCCACCCCATGGCATCAGGAACTTCCATCCTGCTCTGTCCCCTTATTTAGGTTTAGATTAGAGATTAGGGAGAAATTCCTCCCTGTGAGGGTTGGGAGGCCCTGGCACAGGTTGCCCAGAGAAGCTGTGGCTGCCCCATCCCTGGAAGTGTCCAAGGCCAGGTTGGAGCAACCTGGGCTAGTGGAAGGTGTCCCTGCCATGGCAGGGGGTGGGATGAGATGAGCTTTAATGTCCCTTCCCACCCAACCCATTCTGGAATTCTATGATCCCCCCAGCAAGCTGGTGGTCAGGACAAAGCCCTGCCCCCATTTTTCCACAGTCAGTGGGATTTTGCCACCAAAACACCATGTTCTCCCTGCTTTCCCTGGCACAGGCTGGGATCTGGCTTCCTCTGCAGTAGCAGCCCTGGCTAAGATTGCTCATGGCTGAGCTTTTCCCTGTGTGTGCCGGGTGCTGGGACAACCCCACCACAATCCAGCACCTGCAAGCGGTTAGTTACAATAATAAATAAGTGATAGATTATCAAATAAAGCCTTGGCTTCGCATGAGGTCATCCCTGCACCACGTCCTGGGTCTCCCAGGGTTTCCAGGCAGCTTTCCTGCCGCTCCTGGGCTAAAATACCTCTTGTATCAGTCAATAAAAAACTTGTCGAGATTAAAGAATCAATTAGGAATTAGCCAAAGGGGCCAAAGCGTAACCCAAACACGCTGATAAAATCCAGTAGGTGATTATGGGAATGGTTCTTATTTCATTTCACCTTGGAAAGGAATAATTGCTCGTTGTAGAGCATGGAACGACCCGAGCTGGGTATTTTTCCAGCTTTATAGGGAAGGAAATTATGGTGGTGGGCTGACAAATGTGGAGACACGCCACGGTTTAGGGCTGAATGGGCATTTTTTGGTCCTTAATTTGAGGAGCATTGTCCACTGGTTGGACTTGGTGATCTTGGAGGTCTTTTCAAGGCCAGGTTGGACAGGGCTTGGAGCCACCCAGTCTAGTGAGAGGTGTCCCTGCTCATGGCAGGGGGTGGGACTGGATGAGCTTTAAGGTCTCTTCCAACCCCAACCATTCCGGGGATTTTCCAGGATTTGATGCTGACAGGATGGGGCAGGGATGCACCACAGCCCCTCTGCTCTTCCGCAGGCACAGAAATACAGGACAAAAACCAGAAGCCTGAGGTTTAGCTGTAAAACCTCTTGCAAAAGCTGACTTTGCCCAGGGATGGCAGGGAGGGGACGGAACGCTCCAGAGCGAGGAGTTGGGCTTCAAGTGCAGGGGAAGGAGCCCGATCCCGGCTCGGGGGCTGCGTGCCGCTAATCCCCTGTTTATTCCCCGTCTGGCCGCGCCGCCCACGCTCCCGAGGCTTTTGTTCCCTAATTAGGGCCGGGGTGAGCAGATCCCCCTGCGGCAGCTCGGTGTCGGCACGGCCGCATCCTCCCCCAGGGATCACATCCATCCTCCCCCAGGGATCACATCCATCCTCCCCCAGGGATCACATCCATCCTCCTGGAGTGGCCCCAGGCTCTGCTCTTTCAGGATTATTGCAGCCAAGGAGCACGATCTAAACATGGATAAGGGATTTATGCTTTTAAGAAACATCGGAGGGATGCCGGTGCAAGGCAGGAGCACAAGGCTCTGGCACAGGGGGTGTAACCCCGGGTGCTGCCCCAGGGCTGGTGCATTTAATTGGCTCATTAATCCCTGTCTCGTGGGCCAGATTCCAGGGCCAGCTGCTGCCCTGCAGTGGGGTCTAAGTGGGAAGGTGGGATCTCAGCGCTCCAGGTTGTAGATCCAGTTTTGCTCCCCTTAAAGTGTGGAAAGAGGCAAATCCCTGGTGTATAAATTAACTATAATTATTAGGAGAAATGTATCATTAGTAAATAGTTATTAATAATTAATAATAATGGAATCCTGAGGTACTGAGGCAGTTGAATGGACTTTGGAAACAAAAGGCCAGTCCCCCATGCTCAGTGCAGTTGTTCTCATCTCTTTGCCCCTGGAGTTGGACACGGAGGCCAAGAACTGACACCAGGCAAGTCAGAGACGACAAGGATGAGAAGCTGGGCTTTTTCCTGCCTGCAGGAAGGCCATCACCTCCTTCGGGAACGACCCAGCATGCAGACAACCCTTGCCCCGAGCCCAGCGTGCCGATCCCCGCGCTCTCCTCACCGAGGAGATGCCGAGGCCGGATCCGGCCGGACACGCTGGTCCCAGGGCAAGCTTGATCCATCCCAGCATCCCTTGCCGTCCCCGGCATCCCTCCCGCCGCTCGTTAGCTGTAATTAATGGGGGTTTCCGTGCCAGCTGCGGGGGGTGCCCGCAGTGTGCAGCTGTGGCTCAGGGAGCTGCCCATCTGCGCCCGCCCGGCGCGGCCCCGCAGCTGCGGCGCCTGGTACCGGCACCCCCGGCCCGGGGCATTCATCACCGGGAGCCTGGGTGAGGAAGCTTGGCAGGGAAAAGGAGGATGGGGAGCCACGGGAGGCAGGTCTCGAAAGTCCCCTGTGCCAGCGGGGTTGTATCCGCAGGCTCCAGGCAGGATGTGCCCCTGGGGTCCCATGGGGGATGGATGGATGGAGCGGTGCCAAGGTGCCTGCGCTGAGCAGGAGGAATGAGCCGGGCTCCAGGGCCAGCTCTGACCCCAGGGGTGGGGAGGTGCCAAGGACATGCCTTCCCAGGAGAGTGGGGAGGGGGAGTGAGCGTTTAAATCAGCGATGGGTCACGTTGGGGGGTGAGGGAGGGGGAATTCTCGGTGCCCTCGTGGAGGGAGGCCCTTCCTTACTGCCTTCCCCTGGTCTGTAGACCCGTGGAGGAGTTGGTCTGGATGATCCCCATGGGTCCCTTCCAACTCAGGGTGTTCTATGATTCTATAATTCCATCATCTGGGCTAAAGGCAAATGACAGGAGAGACCAAACTGTGGGAGTTGAGCCCTTTGGGTACTTCAGGGTGTCCAACTCCACTGACTCTGGTTCCATGAAGTCCTGCTGAGGGCTCTGACCCTCTGTCCCCCTTGTCTCTCCTGCAGCAAATGAAGGTCCCCACCATGGTCACCACAGCAGCACAGAATGGCCTTGGAGCGAGGGAATCAGGCGTGAGGAACGGGGAGTGACCACCCCAACACCCCACCCACGGGTCCCTGGGCATGGATGCCACCACCAGAACCATCAGTGGAGACAGCTTTGCTCCTGCACAGTCGGACATGGTCACCTGCCCAGCAGAGAGAGGTGAGAGCCGTGGGGGACGGGGGACAACGCTGCCAAAACGGAGTCACCCGGCCCGGTCCCACCACGCACATCCCGAGTGGTTCTCCCTGTGGGATGCCCCGTCTTTCCTGTTTACTTGTCCTGCTGGGAATAGAACAATAAATAATTTATCACCGATCGGTTGGCGCGGGGCCGACCTGTCAGTGGAGTTGATTTTCCCTGGCCAAGTGTCAGGGCAAAAGGCCAGGAACGCCGGGCAGGGGAACAGGCACCGCCACAATTATAAGATTAACACCTTGTTTGGTGGTCACACACTGTCAAGTGGTAAAAGATTGCTCCGGTTGGGCTCTATAGAGCATCGCTCACAAATTACCTTATTAAGCAGGATCTTGCTCCTGGTGGCTCCTGCACCTGTGTCCTCAGATATTCCCATTCATGGTGGAGAGGAGGCCAACACTCTGCCGGGGCTGCGCAGCTGCGGGAGCATTATTCCCTCTTACCATATTTGCATATCAATGAGCCCCTGATTAATATTTAAAGAGCCAGCTGTCCGAGCCACCTAGGAAAGAAAAAAAGCTCTGTGAGGTTTTTTATTTATTTAATTTTTTTCTTTTAGGGATAACACTCGCCGCCCTTTATGGAGCGCGCTTCATTTTTAAACCCCCCTAATCTTTTATTTGAAATTAAGAAAAAAAAAAGTCAGGGAGAAAAATATGAAGAACCATTAAGGAGCGATCAGTGAAGGAGTTGTGCTGCTCTCAATGCTCCTCAGTCCTTTTGTGCCGCCGGCGCAGCTGCACCGAGCAGGTTTTTGGGGGCAGGATCCCGGCGCCGACGGGCGCCCATGGGAACGGGATCTGGGAGCGCGAGGCCTGGGAAGAGGGATGGATTTCCACACTCCCGGCTTCCCCCGGCTCCTGTCACGGAGCCGTGGCTGGTGGCGATGTCCCGGGGGTGGAATGAGCGGTGTTGTCCACGGTGAGGGATGCTGGTGGTGACCCAGCAGGAGCAAGGCACAGAATCTTGGCTCCAGGGGGCTGATCAATTGAAATGCCATCAAAAAACTGGGAATTGCTATTTTCCGTGCCTCCCCGGCGCTGTTAATCGCCCAGAGGTTTTGTTTCCAGCCCTAAAAGCTGTCATTTTGGAGGACCATTCTCTTGCCCTTTTTTCTCCTGGAGCATTTGTCAATAATCCTCGGACAGCGGCAGCTTTGTTATCCCAACTAATTGGAGTCAAGTAGGGCTGCGAGAAAAGATCGCTCCCGACAGAGCCCTGGGAAAAACCCTGCAAAAGGATTTTAATTTTCAATAAAATATGCAGATAAGTAGAAATTACCAGTGGGGAAGGGGGGCTCTGTGGATAATGGGGCTGCTCAGGCGACGGCGGCTCGAGGGGCTTAATGAGCGCTCGAGCTGCGGCGATGCCGCCGGCTCTGCGGGACGGGGGGCTTGGATCTGCCCCCCACACCTGCACTTCCCAGGGTCTGATAGGTACTTCTGGGGGCAGTGGAGGTGAGGGAGCTGTTTGTCTGTCTGGTCGTGCTGAGCTGCAGCTGGTGGGGAAATATTTCAGGTTGTGTTTTGTTGTATTTATACACGAGTGTAGGAAATCCGGGCATCCCTCCACAGTGGGGTTGGGATTGCTGTGAGATGCTGCAGCTGTCAGGAGGCCAAGGATGGACTTGGACCTTCTCAGCCTGTGGCACTGTCCCAGCCTGAGCCTGGTGGATGTGGATTTTGGCCGGGATGCTCCAGGCAGGGATGTGTTTGTGCCATCTGCCCATGGCTGTGCTTTGCCTGGCTGGTGGAAGATGGTCCCTTCTGCTGGTGGGGAACCAACCACCCAGCTGGGAGCAGAACTAAAAGTCCCTCCAGCTTCACTGGCTGCTGAATTTTCTGGATTTTTGGGCTGGAATTGCCCAAAAAGCCTCTCCAGGTCCTGCTGCTGGATGCACTGGGAGCAGGGTCAGGTGCACCAAGGGATGACCTTTGCAAATGGGTTTTCAGAAAAGGATGGGATAAAATATCTCCCAGCGAGGGGCTGTCCAGCCCCTCCTGCAGCAGAGGGCATTCCCACAGGAATTTGCCCAGGGCCAGGGGTGGGAAGAACTGCTCCCACCCACAACCCTGCTCCCTGCAAGAGGGAGGGATTCATGGGCTGGCAGGGAAGGGGGTGCCAGCACAGGGCAGACACTGCATGTGCTGCCTGCAGGGTCTTGGTGCTGTCTCCATGCAGAGCAGATCGGTCCCACCTTTCCCAGCAACTCAGAGCACTTTCAGGAGGATTTTTTGGGATGTCTTTGCTGACTGTGCCCCATCCCACTGCCACGTGCCATCCCCTGGGAGCAGAGGGGCGGGAGCTGTCCGAGGCCACCGAGGAGGTGCAGACGGTTTCCCGAGGGCAGGATGGAGCTGGATGACCCCACAGCAGCCCCCCCTGAGCCCCCAGCCCCTTGGGGAGGGACAGCTGAGCCATCACCTGTCGGAGCTCAGACGCTGCAGCTGCACCTGCTTTGAACCCGCCGGATTAGGCAGCGGAGAGGGCCATGAGAGCACTTGTGCTCCACGTGCCAGGGCCTTCCTCCTCCTCCTTCTTCTCCTCCTCCTGGTGCTCCACCAGCCCCGCAGCCTTCCTGACCCAACTGCTCTGGGCTGCACCAGGCACAGCAGGGATGGAGGTGGGAACAACCTCTGGGTGAGGGTCAAAGCACCTTCGGCCCTTGGGACACCAGATGAAGGTCTGCTGAGCTTTATATATTTTTTATCCAAAACAGGTAAAACCATAGGAAAATAAATAGGTAAAATCATAGGAAAATAAATAGGTGAAATCATAGGAAATCCCAGGGGGGAATAGGATCCAACATTTTTTTAATTTCGGGAGAGCCAGAATCTGCATGAGGACACAGCCCAGAGCCCAACTGCAGGGTTTTTTCCCACTTTTCCCACTATGTTCCATAATTCCCACTGTAGCCCTCCCAGGAGAGGAGCTGGGATGGTGGGACATCCTTAGCAGGTGGGTGACACCCCCAGCTTGGCAGATGTCCCTTCTGTGGGGTGACCAGCGTGAGCTCCTCTTACCTCTGTTACCTCCTGTCTTCTGGAGCTTTTGCGTCTCCAGCTGGGGTGTGGTGGGTCTCCCAGTTTGGGAAGGGTGTTCCCAGTTTGGGAAGGGTGTTCCCAGTTTGGGAAGGGTGTCCCCAGTTTGGGTAGGCACTGTTCTGTGCTGTCCCTTTGGTGGTGACAGCAGAGTGGGGCTCGTGGTGGGTGGCTGTGACGTGTGGGTGCCTCCGTCTGCTATCACGACATATGTTGGGATGATACTCCTGGCTCAGTGGGTGATGGATTGATGTTCCCAGCTCAGTGGGTGATGGATTGATGTTCCCAGCTCAGTGGGTGATGGATGGGGACATTGTAGGGTCATTCTCTGCTCTGTGGTTTAGTGGGCTGGTGGTATTTGGCCAAAAGTTGGACTTGACGATCTTGGAGGTTTTTTCCATGGTTCTGTGATTCCATGATTGAGTGGCCAGATCCTCCAAGCACCACCCCCATCCCTCCTTACACACATGTGACACCTCTCTCCTCTCACCTCTGTTTTCTCTGGTTTCCTCAATCCCACATCCAAACCCACAGAGACAGAAAGGCCCATCCCATGATTTTCCAGTGGCAGCCAAACTGTCCCCTGAGCCAAGCTCATCACCGGGGCAGGACCAGGACCAAGGCTTGGCCTCAGTCCCCAGGGAGTGCAGGATTTGCCCTGTGCTTTTAAAAGCAGAGAGGGAACGGTTTGGGGTTATTTTTGTAAAAACAAAGCTTTCTCCCTTTACTTTTTAACTCTCCCAGTTCCCCAGTCTGCTCCCCACGCTCCTTTTCGGGCTGTTTTAACAGCCAGGGTGTAACATTAAGGTGATTTACAGCATCCCAGGAGTGGAAGGGCAGAGACTTGGGGGTTTTTTTCCCCTTTTCCTCAGGTGAAAGAAAACCTCAATGTTACCTCAGGAGCCGTTGCAGCGACCGCTCCGTCAGCCCTTGATTTACAGGCTCAAATTTACGAGTTCAAAATTATTCTTGCACTCACAGATCTCTTTTCTCCCTCGGCCGTTTTAGTGCTTGTGAAAGGTGAGGGGTTTGACAGCTCCTGGAAACAAAAGCTTTTAATATCCCCCAGAGTGAGGCTCTCCCAGGCAAAGGAGAGAGATGCCAGCAGGGTTTTCCCTCCCTGCTGCAGATTTTACTCACTCCAGGCTGGTCTTAACCAGACAGAGCAGAAAGTTTTGCTTGAGTTAAGCCAGGACTAATTAGCAAACCCCGTTTTCTTGGTGCCTGTGGAGTCCCCTGGGATTATCCCTGGTGGCTGGAGCAGTGCTGGGCTGGAGGCTGAGGCAGATGTTGAGGTTGCCCATCACTCCTGTGATGTTTTCAGACCCTTCTCAAATTTTTTTGGACACCTCCAGACTTTCTGTCGGAACACAAGGCTGTGGGTCACCCTCTGGGTTTATTTTTAATCCCTTTGGTGAGGCCCCTCCCCTCCTCCCCCAGTGACACCAACATTTTGGGTCTAAACTAAACTGGCAGCGGCCTTTAAAATATAACATGCATGAAATGCCAGGAGTAAAACAGCTCCTCTTTAAAGCACATGTCATGCAGTGGCTTAGGGAGCTGGGGGATTAAACCTTCATGGAGCTTGGGAAGCGATGCCAGAGCCCCTGCTGCACTTCATTAAAGCACATTTTTGACACAGTTTGCCTTATTCAATAACAATTTAGTTGACCAAGAACCCAATAGGAAGGGACAGGCAACTGTGTAGAATTTTGTTGGGGTTTCATTTTCAGCATTTCTTCATGTCACTTTGCCAGCTGTGCCCTGTCAGGGATGGCTGAGCCCTGCAGGATTGGTGTGTGTATCCCAAAAAATAACTGAGATGGAGTCGGGGTCAGGATGATGCTCCCACAGGGACGTTGAGCGTCACCTCTGTGCCCACCTCCCCATCAGCTTCTCTGCTCAACCCACAGCCCCACTGGC